GCACTAATCCATTTGGTTCTACAGAAATTGTGGAAGAATCCGTACTTTACTTTGAGTATGTGCCTCCGATTTCACAAACAGTTGTGGTAGATAAATATCCCTGGAAGGGCTGTAAGCTCACTGCGCAGGGTTATGTGTTTCATTAGAAACATTCTTCTTTCTTATGGCTCTGTTGTTAGCCAAAAAACTTTACATTTATTAAAGGTTTAATTATGGAAGAAATAGGTGAATGTGACGAGCTTAGTAGGCAGTTTTATTTAAACCAATTAATGGTTAGACTACATGGTAGGGAAGGTTCCTACAATAATGTTGATGAAGGAGAAGGCTTTCGTTGGCCTGACCTGCTGGAGAAAACAGAACCTTCTTTGTCAACTCAGGATCTGCTCATTGAATACAATGTAGGAACCGACCAGATACCCAAGATAGTCAGGGTTAGTGGTTTGTTGACTAAAAACCAACAAAAGCAAATGGTAGCGGTCATTCGAGACCATATGGGGTGTTTGGTATGGGATTACTCAGAAATGCCTGAATTGGCACGCAATTTAATAGAACATAGGTTGCCGATTAAGAAGGGGTTCAAGCCATATAAGCAAACACCAATAAGGGTTAGCCCGGAACTACTTCCACAGATCAAAGAAGAGATTGAGAAATTATTGAAAGTAGGGTTCATTCGACCAAGTCGATATGCAGAATGGTTAGCCAATATCTTCCCAGTGACCAAGAAGAATGGAAAGATTTGGATCTGCATTGACTTCAGATATCTCAATCTAGCTACTCCTAAAGATGAGTATGTGATGCCCATAGCCGATATGTTGATCGACTCGGTAGCAGGGCATCGAATTTTAAGCCTGATGGACGATTATGCGGGGTATAATCAGATATCATTGGCAGAGGAAGATATACCCAAAACCGTGTTCAAGTGCCCAGGAGCCTTAGGGATCTACGAATGGACAGTTATGTCATTCGGTTTAAAGAATGCTGGGGCAACCTATCAACAGGCGATGAATACTATCTTTCACGATTTAATTGGGCGGTCCATGGAGGTATATATTGATGATGTGATCATTAAGTCCACTGACTTTGATACACACTTGGATGGCTTGGAAAATGCTTTTCTAAGGATGAAGCAGTACAACCTGAAGATGAACCCAACCAAATGTGCCTTTGGAGTTTCGGTAGGAAATTTCCTGGGTTTTCTAGTGCATGAAAAGGGGATAGAGGTTGATGCGAACAAAACTAAAGTTGTTCTTGTTCTGACCATGCGCCCCCCTCGGACGATAAAGGAGGTTCAAAGCTTGTTGGGTAAAGTGAACTACCTAAGAAGGGTCATAACAAATGCCGCAGGGAAGTTAAAACCCATCACAAAGTTGCTAAAGAATAAGGCAAGAGGCATTAGACGAAATTAAGCAGACATTAATAAAACCACCAGTGTTGGTTCCCCCAAGAGGAGATCGACCTCTTAGACTGTATGTAGCAAACAACTTTGATGTGGTGAGCAATCTGCTGGTGCAAGAATGGGAAGACGGTAAGGAAATGGCTATTTATTATTTAAGCAAAACTCTGGCAGGGCCAGAGTTGAATTATACTATGCCCGAGAAAATGTGTTATTCTTTCGTCTTTGCATGTACTCGGTTCGAGCATTATATTCTGCCAAGAGAAACCGAAGTGGTTTCCAAAGTGGATCTGATCAGATTAATTCTGCACAGACCAACCATGCAAGGAAGGTTAATGAAATGGGCAATCAGATTGGCTTCTTTCGCGCTGCAGTATCGACCTATCAAAGCGGTGAAAGGGCAGGTAGTGGCCGACTTATTGGCTGAGTTCACTAACAACGAATCAGTAGAACATAAAATGGTACCGTGTATAGGTACTAGTTCCTGGAAAATGTTTTTTGATGGTTCTTGTTCAAGAGGGAAGTCAGGAGCAGGAGTTATATTAGAGGGACCTGGGGCTCGTAAGATCAGTTTGAAGCTTCAAATGAAGGAAATGACTCACAACTCTGCCGAATATGAAGCACTAATTTTGGGTCTGGAAGCACTTGTGGCCAAAGGAGTGCAAGCGGTTATGATTTGTGGAGATTCTCAATTGGTCATCAATCAAGTTTTAAGACGGTACGCTTGTAATTATCTGCATCTGCGTCAATATCGAGATTTGGTATATCGTCTATTATATAGAATTGCGGAGGTAGTTATTGAGCATTACCGAGAACAGAGAATTGGCAAGCAGATAACCTGGTTCAGAATGCCTGTCAGCAAATAATTGGTAGCATCGATGCCAATACTGATTGGAGAACAAAAATTATGATCTATCTAGAATCACCAAATTCTGTGACTCCTGTAGGCGTTCGAATGAAAGCGTTACGTTTCCAGCTTATTGAAGGGGTTCTGTATAAGAGAACCTTTGAAGGAATATTATTAAGATATCTGGGACCAGAAGAATCTATTAAGGTAATGGAAGAAGTTCATGGTGGAATTTGTGGAGCACACCGAGCATGATTAAACATGCGATGGGCCATTCATCGTATGGGATTTTATAGGCCAAAGATATTTGATGATTGTATCAGATTTGCTAAAGGGTGTCAGAAGTGCCAGAGGCATGGCCCATTAAACCATCTGCCAGCAGTAGAACTCCAGGCGATGGTTAAGCCGTGGCCATTCAAGGCTTGGGCGTCGGATGTAATAGGGAAAATTCATCCGGCGTCATCAAAGCAACATTTATTCATTTTAGTGGAAACTGATTGCTTTACCAAATGGGTAGAGGCAGTCCCGTTGAAGAATGCGATGTAGAAAGAAGTGATTGAGTTTGTACTTAATCACATTATTTATCGGTTTGGGATTCCCCACACCCTTATGACCGATCAGGGTTTGATGTTTACTGGGGAGAAATTTATTGAGTTTTTGGTCGAGTTCAACATCAAATTGCATCATTCTTCACCGTACTACCCACAGGCTAATGGATTGGCCGAGGCGGCAAATAAAATTGTCATCAGCATCATCCGAAAAATGGTAGAGGGAAATCCAAGGAAATGGCATACATTACTGTCTCAGGAATTGTGGTCTCACCGAAATAGTAGAAATACCTCTAATGGGTTCTCCCCCTACCAATTAACGTTCGAGCAAGATGCCATACCGCCAGCGGAATTTGTTGTATCTTCACCCAGAGCGATTAATACAATAGCAAATATTGATGAGGCGTATGCGCAAAGGATGTGGCAACAACTGGAGGAGGCGGACACAGATCGATTAAATGCTCTGGATCGAGTGGTTAAACAGAGTGAGATTAGAGCAAAGTATTATGGAAAAAGAGTGTCCCAAAAGTTTTTTCAGAAGGAGATTTAGTATGAAAAACAATTCTGCCTACGTATAAGAAGGTGGACCAATTAAGGAAATGGTCTCCCAACTTGGAAGGCCCTTTCATCATTCACAAAGTAATCGGTAACGGAGCTTTTATTATTATAAGTCAAGAAGGAAAACTGGTACATGAAAATATTAATGCTAAAGTATCTAAAAAGGTATTTTCCTGCCTTTTCAGAACATTGTCATTAATTCTTATTGCAAAAATCTAGGAACCCTTCAAGGGTTCGAACCTATATGAAAGGGTTCTTTATCCATCATCCGAGAGGGTGACACAAACGTGATTGTCTTCTGGTTCAGAGGTTTCATCCCAATTCACGGAAACCATTTCAGGTTCCTCGTCCAGGAGATCGTCTAGATCGAGACAATAACGATCCCATTGGTCTTGCATTTCTTGAAGGTCTTGTTCGGTGCGATCTTTCATATCCTGTAAAGATTGGCTTTCCCGTTCGACAAGTACGCGCAGCCTGGAAAGTGTTGATCTTTGCTGGTGAAAAATATTGTTCCAGCTAAGGTCAGAGAGAATGGCCAGGACATGATGATTTATCATATCCAGGTGATGATCGAGATCAGATATGCGAGTAAGAATGTCAGTGAAGGGTTCATAGCTGGTGGATATACGCTCCATTAAACGGATCACGTTATGTATGGTTTTCTTGCTTCTGCCAGAAAACTTAAACTTAAAGTCTAGTTTTTTGAGCACCTGTATCATGTCCTCATCATGATGACCTATGGGGTGTTTATCCACAATGAATGGTTGCAGAGAACCTTCCCAGTTGGATGAAGGTAAACGAATGCGGGGAGAAACTATTTTGAGTTAATTTGGTGGATGCTGATGATATTTGCAAAAAGAGATATGGAGTATATATAGGTGTTGTGACGCTTGATTCTTGACTTAGTAAAAGTGCAAAAAATATGGATCTGTGTTCTGAAAAATAGGATGCATATATAGACTAAGTTTAGGAGTTATATACATATTACATCAAGTTAAAGAGAAAGTAGGGCCCTAAGGGCGGTTCGGAGATCAGCCCATTTCATTTCCGACCGATTGGCCCGCCGACGCTAATAAGCCTCCTGGTGTCCCCTGACAAGTATCAGTTGTATGCTCGTTTGAAGTTGTTTGCTAAGACTCATTTGTGTCTGGCAATGCTCTTCCACCAGACGGCTCCCTTCCTAGAGGTTGCCGTCCAGGATCTCCAACTGTTCTTGTAGGCGTCTGAGCTCTTCCGTCTTTTGGGAGATCTCAGCCGCCAAAGTTTGTCACGCTTGTCGAAGTTCTTGCAGTGTAGCCTTGGCAAGATTAAGGTCTTGGTCGACCTTCTTCAAAGATGCCTCAAGATTGGCCGGATCAGCGGTCGGCTGAGATGACGTGGCCTCGGACGATGGAGGTCGGATCAGAGGCAGCTCGGCTTGAATTTCGGTGATCCTTGCCATCATCCGATCGAGGACGGAGGGAGCTCCCCACTCCAGCATAGGCTGCACCGACAAATCTATCGTGACCTGAACTAAAGCCTCGAGGTTCGCTAAACTCAGGTCAGCGAATGACAGGTCGGCGCGGCGTGCTATGATAGATCTGGCGGGAGTCGGGAGGTTCACTTTGGCCAGCACATTCATCTCCTAGGCGGCCTGAAACAAAGGTGTTAGAGTATGGAGGAGCAAAAGGAATCAGTTACAAATCGTTAAAGAGAACATTATTCACCGGTATGGAATCCCGCAGACGATTACCACTGATCAATGTATTGTATTTACCAGCGATAGAGTGGCCGCCTTCGTTGCACAGTACAGGATTGCTCTTTTACATTTGTCACCGTATTATGCGCAAGCGAATGGTCAGGCCGAAGCAGCCAACAAAGTCTTAATTGGGGTAATCAAAAAGGCTGTGGAGGATAACCCGAGAAGATGGCACGAAGTGTTAGGGGAGGCTTTATGGGCTTGTAGGCAATACCAAAATAAAGCCACTGGTTGCACTCCATTCCAATTGGTCTATGGACAAGAGACAATATTGCCATTGGAAATCACGGTGCCATCACTACGAGTGTTGAAACAGAATTTGCTTAGTCCTGAGCAGTATGACACAATGATTTTACGGAGATTGGACTACGTACACGAGGATCGGATGATGGCCTTAGAGAATATCAGGGCAAATAAAATGAAAGTAGCACGAGCTTACAACAAAAAGGTACGTCGGCGGACATTCCAAGAAAGAGATTTGGTATGGAAGGCAGTGTTACCCGAAACATTCAAAGATAATATGCTCAGGAAATGGTCTCCTACATGGGAAGGTCTGTATCAAGTGCGTAAGGTGTTACCTAACGGTGCTTATAGATTGATGAGTATTGATGGGATAGAACATAGAAATGTTATTAATGCTAAGCACCTTAAGGGATACATGTCACCACTCGAGTTCAAATAAATAAATGCAAAGGACAAATGACAGCAGGCCCTGTTTAGGCCGCTAGATACAGAGCAAAATGAAACTAGGCTATTAAGCTGCTAGTATGCAAAATGAAAGCAGGCCATTAAGCCGCTAACATACAAAATGAAAGCAGGCCATTAAGTCACTAATGGGCAAACGGAAACAAAACGAAAATAAGTCATCTTAAGTAACCAAACAAATAGTAGATCATAAAATCCAAACGAAATTGTGGGTGGCTTGAAGAAAGGCGAATGGTTCCTGAAGTTAACGCACGGTAGGAGGAGTATCCATGGCTGCCAGATCCACATTGGGCTCGGAGTAATCAGGGTCAGGTGTTGCTTCCATGGGAACTGGATCCGCGGGGATTAGGGTCGGACCTTCCAGAGATGGAGCCGTTCCATCGTGACCCGGTGCTGCTTCCATGGGAACTGGATCCCTTGGAGTTGGAATCAAATCCTCCAGAGATGGAGCCGCTTCATCAAAGCCTGGTGCTGCTTTCATAGGGACTGGATCCGTTGAAGTTGAAATCAGGTTTGCCGGATCTGGAGCCGGTCCAGCAGGTCCTAAAACTGCTTCCATAGGAACTGAATCTATCGAATGAGGAATCGGATTTTCCAGAGTTGGAGCTGTTCCATCAGGAATTGGCGCTGTTTCCACTAGAGTTGAAATCTCTAGGGCCGGGGCTGCTCCATCAACAATTGGAGCTGTTCCATCAGGAATTCGGCCTGCTTTGCTAATTGCTCGGTGCAAAAGGCATCAAGCTGGTTTGAATCACTGGAAGCTTCATCCTCAATATGCAAAAATTTATCCTGCAAAGACTGCTTCTGGTCCCTTAATGTTCCCAGCTGATCTAAATGCGTCCTCCCAAAATTCCGGTTCTCCTCTGCCATCATACGACACTGAGCGAAGGTGTTCACTTTAGAAAATAAGCCGACCCATTGCCCACGAATAGACTCGGGAAGGTTTGCATCGGAAAGGGACTCCGCCAAATTCGGTAAAGCCAATTGGATGGAACTTAGGGTTTCAGGATCTCCCGGGGACGCCTCCAAGCAGGTGGTGATGAATTGTTCGTCCATTCTCTCAGGGAGTTGACTAGAAAGTGCAGAGGTGGATGTTGCATCCTGATGCCCAATGAAGTACTCCTGGATGCGCTCTTGACTGATATCTGAACCGGAAGTAATGCGACCTGCACGAGGTGGGGCAAAAGTGCGATCTGAAGGTGGAAAATGAGCCTCCAACGCTCTCGAAAGTACATGCTGGTAAAAGATGTTAGCGAATAACATTTTAATATGAATGTGAAGAGGAATGCAACTTGGATTATGGGAATACCTTGGACACAAGAAGGTTTTGGTGGATGAACCTTCGAAGGAAGATTCACCGTAGTATAAGCCGTAGTCCTTGTCCCAGGGGTTGCATCAACACCTTTCTGCACCTTCTTAGCAGGCTGGAGACAATGATACATACGAATAAGAAAATCATGAAGGGTTCGTGGAAACTACATGGAGATGAATATGAACCTGAGTGTTGGGAGAAATGGTTGCACGACGCTTCTCTGAAGGCTTCGGGGCAGCAGCTCTGGCTTTGGCATGTCGAGTTGATCTATGTACGGGGAAGGAATCCGTCACTGCGAATACAAACAAGAGCTAGCTGAATATTTATTGATCAAAGCTAAAGAAGATGATGAAAGTCTACCTTCGATGATCTCGGGGGCCACACTTTCAACCTCCTCGGCGGCAATGTCAGCTGTTTTGCTTTGGTGGTCAGAATTAGTATCGATAAAACGGCGTAACCATGAAGCCGAGAGGCTCAGCAAAAAGAACATCCTTTAAGGATGCCCACCAGCTTGCAAACGCCGAATCGATGGAAGGCTTGGTTTCGAAGACTAGAAGGGGTGAATCCTCAATGGCCGCATTCAGGCCCTGGAACATATCAAGGTCTTCGGAGGATAGATCCTTCATGACCAGTGGAAAGGGCCCTCGACAATGGAAGTGGTACATCAGGACCGTTTGTTGGAGTCCAAATTGGTGCGCATACAACTGTGGGAAATAACCCTCCACCCCAACGGGTAAAGAACGAGACGTAGGCTTTAGACCCAACAACAGGGGCCTCGCAGTTAAAACTTGATTCCATGATGAAGTGATGGAAGACCAATCAAGGGAACCATCCTCCTTCATCGGCGGAGGCTTAGAGAACCAATCAGGCCCATGAGATCGCTCCGGTAGAGGGAAGAATCGTGCATCCTCACGGTTACTTGACGACAAGAAAAAGTTAGCGATTTGGAAAGCGTTACGGGAACACTCAAACCCAGCTAAAAACACGCTGATACGTTCTTTGTTCGGAATTTGGAACGACCACGGTATGTCAAACAGCTCGGGAAACATGTAAGCAGCCCAGAGCTGAAGAAACCACAAAGGTCCCCTCTGGGTGGATACACATTCCTCACGACTTAGGCGGGTATGAAGATCGTTAAGGGTTCTATACAAATGCCCTAAGAAGAACTGAGCAAGCGCCAAGTTGTCACCTTCCATTATCGATGCTACTAAAGGCTCGTATACTCCTCCTATCCCTATTTTACAGCTACCATGTGGGATATTGTAGTCTCCATTGGTAGCACATAAAAACGGTCGTGGAAAAGCCGCTCCAAATCCGACCAAGACTGCACGGTACCTGGCGCCAACGATGTATACCACGAAAATGCAGTACCCGTCAGAGATAAGAAAAACAATTGTAAATGATACCAATCATTTTCTCCCAAATCCCCACACTGAGCTGTAAATTTCCCGATATGCTTTATCGTTGATCTCTCATCTTCGCCTGAGAACAGTGAAAAATCCGGTGCTTTATTTCGAACGGGCAACGGCATCATCTCACTTACCTAAGCTGGGTAGGGTCTTTCATACACTGGTCGCTCTTCAAATTTCATTCGTGGGAAAGCTCTTCGGATACTTTCTACTAGAATATCCGTATCTATTAATGGCCGGGCCTCCTGCTGATTAGGAATCAGCGGTTGCCTCCCTGGTCCCCAAGCTTGACCAGCCATTCCTCCTTGAGGGACGGCGGCATATGGAGCCTGTTGAGCCCACGGTGGTGGAGGTGCATTCCAAGTAGGCTGACCTGCGACCTGCCCTGGCAACGCTGTCCCTGGAGGGGCTCCATAAACACTGCTTTCTGCGACATCTGGTCCTCCTACCATTTGAGGGCCACAACCTCCGCTGGGTTGCCCTCTTTGCGGGCGTTGGAGAATTGTTACATTGCCGAATTGCAATCCTGCTCCACTCGTCGGTCCCCTAGGCGATCTAGTGTTTTCTCGACCTAAGCTGGAACCGACGTTCCCTGTGAGGGTTGGAATCCCTCCACCAGATGGAGTTATTCTTCTCGGACTTCCATATGTGTTTCCTGGAATTCCAGAATTATGGACTCCACTGGCCACTGCTCGACGTTCCTCTTCGCAAATCTAAAATGCTTCATTTCTCACAGTTGGCCGGATCACATCGGCCAATTGCCTAGAAATTTCATACGCGATATCCTCGATTCCAGCCCGAATACACTGATTCACTTCCCTGCGTACCATGGTCACCATCGTTTCAATCGATAATGATTCCTCTTCTCTCCTCAGCCCTGGAGTGCGGCTTCCACTGGGATGGACCGGCGTTCCAGTTCCAGTAAATCCTGCACCGATATTCAAGCCTGAGCCCTGATTCTGATTGTCCATGGCGATCACTCTACCACTACGAAGTTGCATACACAAACACGAACCCGACTTGGTCCCACTGGGCGTGCCAATTGTTGATCCTGCGATTCGGAATTCTAAAATAGCTCGCCGATTTCATCGGTGTGGGTTCCGGAAGTACTCCAGAGAGTCAATCCGTCGTCTGGTAATGCAAATTTCACGCGACTAACGAACTAAACTACGATAATCTACGGAAAACAAGTAAATAAATTGCAGAAAGCATGTAACTGGAATTAAATTGCATAAAAACGAATATAAAACATGAAAGAAAAGTATGAAAAGAGACGATTTGATTTGTTGTGCACGTATATGTTGTGTTTCTTTTTCCTAATTGTAGTCCTAAGCTAGAGTAACCACTTCTCCCACTAACATGGGTGGTTACAATTATTCTCTCCACTTCTTTCTACCTCTCTTAACCACCAGGTAATCTCATTCCATCAGTTCCCAGTTGTTTCCATTGCCTCTGGACCGAGTTTCATTCGTTTTGAACATCTTCCGTCGTTCCTGGACCAAGTTCCATTCCCTCTGGATTTCTTCCATTGCCTTCGATCAGACCTGCAGCTTACCCTGATTTGTTTCCATCATACTCCTAGCCGGTCTACGGGGATATGTCCCTAACAGCCTCGAGTTACATGGAACCCTCATTCATCTTCCTTTCATTTTGACCCATAGAACATTCCATATAGGACATATAGGTACCGTGGTCTTCCATTGATATTATGAAGTTGCCAATTCAGGGTTAACGGAGCTTGTCATCCAAAAGTCTGTGGAAGTTATATCTTTTTGCTCCATGGAAGTTCCGCAGCCTGATGAAAATCACTACCTTCCACTTTAAACATTTTGGACTTGGGGTCCAACAGTACCGAATATATCAAATATATTTTGTATGTCGGTTGTGAAAATCGTTGTCCTTCTCAAAGCTGTACAAACCTCCAATAATTCAAGATTTTTATACCATCAAATCAACGAATAATCAAATAATTAAATGTATATAGACGTAAATATAAACAATCTATATATCAAATTTGCTAAATCTTGATAAAATTAAATAATCAAGTAAAAAATCTATAATGAAGAGAAATATATTTATGTACATAAGAAAAAAAAAATCCTTATAAATAAATTATTTTATAATTATATATTTTATTTTTATACATAAAAATATATAAGTAATCAAAGGTATTTTTATAATTTAAAATATACAAAATCATAACCCATAACATTAGTTAAAATTATGTCATAGGGAAGTGTTTAAAATATTATTGATCTCATATAACTTTTTTAATAATTAAATTTTTATTTTTTTTAAAAAAAAATACTACCTTTATCCAGCCACAAAGTACATAGGGTTTTATTGTGTTGATATTTAAATATTAATTATTATATCAAAATATAGTACAAATAAAGATATAAAGATAAAAATACATCTATTAGTCTCTTGTAATACATATACAATGATATTTGTGGAGTAAATTATACAAATATAAAAATATTTTTAATGTTAAATACAATTATGCAAAATGATTTGTTTACTTTACGACTGGACGGAGGTAATATTATACTACGGATAAATATAGCATAATTAATTAAAATATTTATTTAACACTTACAAGTTTATATTAACGATAAAACAAATATTTACTAAGATTGTGGTCTTTCAAACAAAAAAAAAAAAAATCACATTATTTTTTAAATATATTATCAAAAAAAATATTATTTAATAAAAAAACAACAACTACTTATATGCAATAAAAGTTAACAATTGCATTAAAAACTATATACATAACAAAAAAAATTAAAATAAAATAAAATAAAAATGTCAAATTAGCAAATACAACCGCCATAATGAAAGCCCAAACAAATAAAAGTCCTTTTAATTTATTTTTGTTTTATAAAAAAAAAATAAGTAATTTAATAATACATATACATGTATAGAAATTTAATACAACCGCCATAATAAAAGCCCAAACAAATAAAAGTCCTTTTAATTTTTATTTTCTGTTCTATAAACAAAATAGTAAGTAATTTAATAATATATATACATGTACAAAAATTTATATATTGGACGATGGACATAATATGACCCTAATACAATATCTAAAAATTATTTTACTTCAAAATCTATACTTAAAAAATACACAAATATATACTAAAAGAATACATTATATAAAATAGGCAAAATTTTGGAAAGTCTCATCATTCATGTTCTTTAGAAATTGTGCAATTTCGTATTTTAAAAAATATGGTATATATATAATCTCAAAAAAATATATATATATGTTTGAAAAAAAAAATCACAATTTCTAAAATTGTAGGAGAGTTATACCACTACAAAAAAAAAATAGTATATTTGTAACGGAATTCCGTTCCTAAAGTTTATGTAGCTAACGTAATTCCATCTTTAATTCCGTCTCTAATATCATTAATAACATAAAAAAAGTGAATTTATGAACGAAAAATCTCATTACAAAATTGATAATTTCTTGTAGTGTATAAGCTTTTCAAACAAAAAAAAAAAAAGGTTATAAGCAACTATATCTATAAAATAAATTACTAAAATTTAAATAATTCAATTTAATTCATGATTACCTACAAAAATTGATGTTCTTGGTGTTGGTTCGACTCATTCTTCCAGCACGTTTCGCATATGGGATTGTTCATACATTCGATACAGAATACAATATTATATCTCTCGACATGTACCATGTATTTTTTGTTGTAAAAATCAATTTGAAGCCACTTTGATAGCCACGAAGATAACGACGATGATGGCGTGACCTCGGACTTTGAAGGATTGTCCCTTTTCATCCTGAAAATATTGACAAATAAAATTGTATTATTATTTCTCTTTATTCAAAATGCTGAAGAAAAAATAATTGAGAATTCTTTTTAGGGTTTAATTTGAGGTATATATAGAATTTTGAAAAAAAAAAAACAAAAATTTTAAGATAAAATCAATTTGTTTTATATATTTATAACAAATTTTTGTGATTTTTTTTTAAATAAGTTTTAAAAAAAAATTCTTTCTAAATTATGTATAAATATTATAATACAATCTGTTACACGTATAAAATTATGTAAATTATATATAACATTACCAACGAAAAAAACTTTAACTTACTAGATTGATCCAAGTTGTCACGTTCCAGTTATGAGTCAACTGATTTTTTTTTAATTTATTAGAATTATATTATATTATTATTATTATTATTATTATTATAAATATGCTTTTTTGAAATATTAAAAATATACTTTCTGAAATATGCATACATATTTTTTTAAATAAAAATTAATATATTACAAACATTCATTATTTATTTATCAATTACACAATTTATAAAAAAACATATATATATGAAAAAGACTGGAGAACATCTTCGAGTTCGAAGATCGCCACTGTTCGAGTTTGTTTGCGGTTTTTGGAGACGCTGTTGGTATACCGGAGGAGAGCCGCCGTGGGCAGCTGGAAGTCGCTGGCTGTTCGTTTGTCCGCCGCTGGTCGTTGGGGAAGAGATCGACGTTGTCCGTCGGAGTTCGGTGTTCGATGGAGCTGTTAGGAGGGAGTTGATGTTGCTGATCGTAGAAAAAGACCGAAGTTGTTCGTTGTCGCCGGTGAAAATGACCGGAGAGGAGTCGCCGACCAGCTGTCCGCCGTCGAGAGGAGTTCGCGGCGGAAAGAGTCACCTGAGATTTTTTTAATTTATTACAATTTTATTATTATATATACGTCTGTTAGAAAATTTGGGGGAAAATAATGAGATTATCTTATAATCGTCAAAATAAAGAGCCTATATATAGGCCATACAAAATAGACTCGATAGACTCAAATCTAAGTAATCTAATCTATGAATAAGATCAAATTTAGATATAAATCTACTAAATCTGAATATCTAAAATATCTCAATATCCCCCCTCAAACTCAAGATAGGGCAGTAGAGACCAACTTGAGTTTGTCCAAGAGTAATCGGAAACGGCCTGGAAGAAGAGATTTGGTAAAGATATCTACTCTCTAATCTTCATAAGATACTGGAATGAGATGAACTACTCAATTGACAATATGTTGTCGAATAAAATGACAGTCAAGCTCAATATGCTTGGTGCGCTCGTGGAATGTATCATTTTGGGCCATCTTCATAGCACTCTGACTATCACAGTGAAGAGCCGTAGAAGATGGCTGAGGGGCACCAAGGTCAGTGAGTAGTCGTCGAAGCCATAAAAGTTCTGAAGTAGAGTCAACAAGAGCACGATACTCTGACTCGGCACTTGAGCGAGAAACTAAAGTTTGCTTCTTGCTGCGCCAAGAAATGAGAGAATCACCCAGGAAGAAGCAAAAACCAGTGGTTGAGCGTCAATCGGTGGGATCACCAGCCCAATCAGCATCAGAGTAACCGCTGAGAGTCAAAGAGGAGTTAGAGGAGAACTGTAAGCCATGCAGAAGAGTACCTTTCACATAACAAAGAATATGTAAGACGGCAGAGTGGTGAGAGGTCCTCGGAGCTACCATGAACTGACTCACAATATGGACTGCTTGAGCGATATCTGATCGAGTGACAGTCAAATAGATCAAACTCCCAACAAGTTGACGATAAACAGTAGGATCATCAAGAAGAGAGCCATCATGAGGAGTAAGTCGAACGTCGTACGCAAGTGGTGTAGATGCTACTTGACAGTCTCTGAGACCAGCTCGAGCAAGAAGATCGGAGGCATACTTAGCCTGGGACAGAAAGAAACCATCGGGAGAATCAGAAACTTCAAGCCCCAAGAAGTAACGAAGGGGACCCAAGCTCTTCATCTCAAACTGCTAGCTAAGATATGCTTGTAGATCAAAAATTCAAGATGCATCATCTCCCGTGATGATCATATCGTCAACATAAAGTAAGAATATAACTATCCCTGATGAAGGACGACGAAGAAATAAACCAGAATCGTAAGCACATGTGGTAAAATCAAACTCCAATAGTGCAGTGCTGAATATGACATACCAAGCCCGAGGGGCCTGCTTCAACCCATATAAAGCACGGCGCAAGCGACAAACTTTTCCAGAAGACAAGAAACCTGGAGGAGGGGTCATATAAACTTCTTCAGAAAGTGTGCCATGGAGGAATGTATTCTTGAGATCTAACTGAAAAAGGGACCATTGACGAATAGCCACAACGGCAAGAAGACAACGAACAGTAGTGAGACGAGCAACAGGAGCAAAGGTCTCCTCATAGTCAATTCCATACTATTGGGAATAACCTTTGGCCACCAGACGAGCTTTGTAGCGCTCAATGGAACCATCAGAGTGTGTCTTAATTTTAAAAATCCACTTGCACCCAATAGGGGTTTTTCCTGAGGGCAAATCCACTAAATCCCAAGTGTGAGTCTTTTCCAGAGCCTGCAATTCTTCAGTCATAGCTTGCTGCCATAATGGATCAGCATTCGCCTCACGAAAGGACCTAGGTTCATGTTGAGATAAAATGACAGAGGAACAATGGTAATCATTAAGGTGTGAATGAGGTTTACTTACACGAGTGTAGCGACGACAAGTAGGGAGAGGTGTAGGAGTAGACGTCAGCTCAGGAGGCGTCGGCTCAGGAGGCGCAGACGGATTAACTCCAGGAGACGGTGACAAGACAGATTGATCAATGAGCTGTGGTGAAGAAGAGGAAGAGGTGTCTGGGAAGAGATCGGAGAGAGAAGACGAAAAGAAGGGAGAAGATGAGTGAAACGGTGTGCTAAACTTGGATAAGGTGGAGAAATATGTGCGGTCCCAAAAGGTGACATGACGAGATATGCTCAACCGATTAGAATATGATGGATCCCAACATCTATAACCCTTGTGTTCGTCGCCATAACCAAAAAAAACATAAACGAGCTCGAGGTTGAAGCTTTGTCCGCTAATGGGGAGAGAGGAGGACAAAGCACACACAACCAAATGGATGGAATAAACTATAATCAGGAGACTGACCAAATAGACGCTCGAAGGGACTGACATCATGGAGGACTGACGAGGGTAACCGATTAATGCTGTAAACAGCAGTTAAGGCTGCTTCCCCCCCAAAACGATCAGGACACTTAGCAGAAAGAAGGAGGGCACGAACAGTATCGAGAATGTGACGATGTTTGCGTTCTGCCCGCCCATTCTGTTGGGACGTATAAGGACAGGAACGCTGTACCAAGGTACCCTGACTAGATAAAAACTGCAAAAATGATGACGTATTGTACTCACAAACATTATTAGTACGAAGGACTTTAATAGGATGGGAGAATTGAGTGTGAATCATTTGAGAAAACTGAGCATATATAGAAGGTAATTCAGAACGATTTTTCAAAAAATAAATCCAAGAAAATCATGAAAAATCATCAATAAATATAACATAATACTGAAAACCACTGACGGAAGCAACAGGAGAAGGACCCCAAATGTCAGAATGGACTAAAGAAAAAGGTTCAGTAGCAATAGATGAACTTTCTGAAAAACTAAGAGCAGGTTGTTTGCCAAGTTGACAATCGACACACTTAAAAGACTCAAAACGACCTGGACCTAAAAGACCTTTAGTATGGAGTGACTGGAGCTTACTGGAAGACGCATGACCTAGGCGAAGATGCCAATGAAGACTAAAGGAATCAAAGGTAAGAGCTGCAAAGCGGGGATATATGCAGGAGGTATGAAGAGACTCACGCTCAAATAACCAACCCGTTTTCCGTCCCGTCCTGAGAAGCTGACCCGTCTGAGAATCCTAAACCTGCACACCACCAGAAGAGAATGTAACGGTAAGACCTTGTTCAACTAATTGACCAATATAGATAAGATTTAAGGCTAAGTCAGGGATGCAATATGTATCAGGAAGATATAGGGAAGGGGAGGACGCAAGACCGGTGTGGGTAATATGCATGGTAGTACCATTGGCAGTATATATAGGTGGTAAATGGGAGACAGGGGACATATAGGTCAAGTTACGAGGGTTAGAGGTCATATGGTGACAACAACCAGAATCAAAATACCAAGTAGATGTACCTGGAGTGGTAGACATAGCAGAATTGGTTTGCATAACATGTTTGATGATGGCTTCTATGTCGTGAGGGTTGTAAGGCACATGCTGAGTCTCATCAGTAGTAGCAGCCGTAATCGTAGAAAATGCAGTCGAAGAAGACCCACTAGGCTCCCGAGGTTTGAGAACAAAGCTACCGGAATGTCTAGGAGCAGAACTACCTGAACGTTGAGATCTTGTGGGACAAACCGGTGCAATATGGCTACGCAAACGACATGAGTGGCACTCAATCTTCGGACAGGTAGACCAAGTGTGATCAGAAGATTTGCAAACTCGACATCCAGTATGAGCAGATCGGGACTGGCGAGACACAGCTAAAGCAGAATCAGAACTCGGTGTCTTAGCCAATTGGAGACGGGTCTCCTCAAAAGTAATCTCCTGAATGGCAGCATCAAGAGTAGGCAATGGATGTCGATGTAGGAGTGAGGCACGAACAGCCTCATATTCAGGTCGAAGGGCCATCAAGATCTAAATAAGGTTAAGATGGTCCTGACTAATTTGTGACTGCCGGAGACGATAACGAATAGGCTGAACCTGAGCAAGAAATTCATTAACAGATTGACCAGGTTGCTGTCGAGCGGAGCTCATCGTGGTCCAAAGTTGATAATAATGAGCAAGACATGTAGTCTGAAAACGAGCAGTGAGGAAGGAGTCAATTGTACCTGAATCGCAGGTACAGAAGTATTGCGCAACCAAGTAAGAATCTGATGATTCTTACTATCCCAATCTTCCAATTTGGCAACATAATCTTCATGCTCCCGAGAGGTGGGATCAACATGCACAAAAGGAGATGGAGACACAGGTGGTCGGATATCGCCAGTGACAATTCGCCATAACTTCCTACCAATCAGGAAACTTTTCATAAACTGCATCCAAAGATCATAATTATCGCCGGACAAGATAGTAGTAATAGGTAAATGAACGTCCATACGCTCCATAACAAAAAAACGTATAAAAATATGTAAATCACGAAATCAAAGCCCAAATAAAAAAAAGTAGATCGAACAATCCAATAGGTAGCAGTCGCAAAACGAGATCAACTCCGATGACAAAACCAACCACAACACGACGTAGGGAACAAAGCAGGAAGCGGCGACAAAAAAAAAAACGACGACCGGAGAAGGGCGGACGATGGACGGCGAACAGCGGCGGCGACGACTAGGGTTTTGGTTTTGGAAAACCATGCTCTGATACCATGTTAGAAAATTTGGGGAAAATAATGCGATTATCTTATTATCATCAAAATAAGGAGCCTATATATAGGCCATACAAAATAGACTCGATAGACTCAAATCTAAGTAATCTAATCTATGAATAAGATCAAATCTAGATATAAATCTACTAAATCTGAATATTTAAAGTATCTCAACAACGTCTTTGAAATATTAAAAAAATAAATGGATAAACTGTGGGTGTTTTGTTTCCTTGTGAAATATGCTTGTGTTTTTTCAAAAAAAAAATTACTCCCTCCGTCACTTGTAAAAAGTATAGATAAAAGATATTTTTATCGTTGTAAGTATATTAATATAAAAGGTAGTGGTAATTATATAATAAAAATAAAGTAGGGGTAGTATTACAGTGATATGATTATTTATGAAAATAAAATTATTATTTTGGGACGGACAAAAATGATAAAAAAAACTATTGTATTGGGAGAGAATAATATATATGCACACTACATTATACTTTTTAGTTCTAGATAGTCCCTTTATTTTAGGATTATTAATGATCATGCAATAAGGTTAATTTTATATAAAAAAAAAAACATAATATCTTGCTATCCTAGATTTATATGGAGACGAGTAAGAGTTAGCAAGATATTCAAAATTCAAAAATTCGATTTGAATCAAATCAAAATCTAAAATTTGGTTCGAACTTTCGAATAGATTCAAATTGGTATATTTGAAATTCGAATCAATCCAAAATTTGAATTATAATATTTTAATAGAAATAAAAAACCTAAAAATAATTGATTATATTTTAATATACTTACATTTATTTCTCATATATATTTAATAATTCATAAAAAAATTATAAAAATATAAAATAAAAATTTAAATTTTAAAAATAATAAATAAAACTAAAATTCGGATTATTTTGGATATTCCATTTTTGTTCAATTTTTTAGTTCGGATATTTCGAAATCCTCACCCCTACATATGAGTGAGATGACCTGGGCACGTTGTTAGTACATTTTTTTTCAATATTTTTAGATTATTAAAAAAAAACAAATAAATCCTTGTGACATTAATCATTATGTATGTAAATCAGATAATTTGATTTTGTTATATTTTTTTAAAAAAATTATGGATTAGTCGAATCTATCCACCATCTATCATCTAAAATGACAAGAGTTTTGGAAATGATAATTTATGTATTTATGTTAATCTTTATGTGTTTTTATTTGTAGTGTTTATATATAGTTTATTTTTTAAAATAATATTTGTATATTTATATAATTTTTTTTTTAATTTTCTAACAATTTAACATTAAAAATATTTTTAAAATTTATAATATAGTAAACAAATATTACTTCTATTATTTTTATATCATACAATAAGGGAAAAAATTTTAAAATTACTCCAACTGAAATAATATTATCACTAATTTTAATTTTTAAATAATTTTAATGTTAAACTCGTACGGATTTCTAGTGTTAAAAATTTTATTTATTCAAAGTCTAATCCAATAAATTATTTAATAATACAATAGTTGGCCACTCTTTAGTATGATCCATCGGACTCGGCCCAATTCTTTT